CACCTGTTACTACTAGTAAGGCACTTGTTTCTACTAGCTTCTTGTTACTACTAGTAAGGCACTTGTTACTAGAGGCGATGCACTTGTTACAACGACGACGACGACTACCTACTTACTTCTGTACCTACTTACTGCTCACTCCTGACGCCTTACTCTTACTACTTACTACTTACTATGACAAGTATGCCGACGACAACGACAACTGCCACTACTACTGCCAAAGCTGCTCCTACTCCTACTTCCATTCCTACGATGACTCCTACTACTACTACTACTACCACTACTGCTACTCCTACTACTGCTACTACTGCTACTACTGCTACTGCTGCTACTGCTGCTACTGCTGCTACTGCTGCTACTGCTGCTACTGCTACTGCTGCTACTGCTGCTGCTGCTGCTGCTGCTCCTCCTCCTCCTCCTACTCCTCCTACTCCTACTACTACTACTACTACTACTACTACTCCTACTCCTACTCCTCCTCCTACTCCTCCTACTCCTACTACTACTACTACTACTCCTACTCCTACTCCTACTCCTACTCCTACTACTACTACTACTACTACTACTACTACTACTACTACTACTACTCTCTTGAGGGCCCCTGCCACTTGGTGATCTACAGTCGTCAGGAAAGTTGATCTTGATCACTTTTTGTACCTGGCATCACTTCTGGTTTGCATGTCAGATTGCCACATTTGAACAATACGGTTCATTCCGGCTCACATTGAGTGAACAAGATTCGCGTGTTTCTTGAGACATATTTGACCAACTGCGGCTGCGTGTTTGCCGCTGTCACTTAAAGCCTTCTGCTTTAGATAGCACGGTTGCAAAGGGTGGTGAAATGAGCAGACCTGATTCAAACCCTTTGAGATCTTGAAGTAGCCCTCTGGTTTACTTATGATTAGTTCAAACAAGAATGAGTGCCCGAAGTCTAGCTTTGCTTCCTATCTGGTATACCTACTAATGCCCACGCATGTGAGGATGGAGGCTCACGTCGAGAGGATGCATGTTCTGCATGATTCTACCCACTCTCTCATCCAACTTGTTGTCCTTTACGAAGTCGTCGATGTCCCTTCCAGCGATGCTCATGGTAGCAGGTTGGAGGCCGCTATTAGGTTGGAGGCCATTGCTAGTCTGACGAGCTTGTGACAACCGAAAGGTTCTCAAACTAGCTTTTGCAAACCAGTGATCATTGCACAAGCTTGATTCAACTTGCAACAAATGCATGTCAAGAATACCAGCAACTGGAGGCTCTTGACAAAGGGTACATGTTTGCACCAGGCTTAAGGATTTCAAGGATTCCAGAGACCAGCTTGTGAACGCCTTCATGGCTTTGACCCTTTTGCATCCATGCAAAGAGAGCATCAAACAGTGTAGACTGTGCACAACGATAGTTCTAGTAATGCCAGGAGCTACTAGTAGCGTCCTTGCTCCTAGTAGCGATGCCAGGACGGGAGAGAATTGTGGCATCTCAGCTTTCTCCGAAAGCTCTCGGCCTTCTCAACTTCGAAATCCGAGCATCTAGGTCATCATCCACAGAGCCCATGCGGAGGGATCCTCCAGAAAGCCACACAGCCAAACCAGTTCAAACATGGTCAACAACACAATTTGCCGTGAAACCAAGAAGCTACCAGTAACAAAGGACATCGCTACTAGGAGCAAGAAGCTACTAGGAGCTCCTGGCAGTACTACCAGTAGCAAGGACGCTACTAAGTTTGCCAGTCTGTGAAACCAAAAAGAAGAGAACCCAAAGCCCTGCGTTTCTGTGCTGAATTGCTGTGACATTACTTTGGCCTCCACGCTCGAGACTAGAATTTCCGAAAATGTATTCCAAACCAAAGTTGCCAAGGTTGCCCAAAGGGCTTACCAAGGAAACTACTAGAAAAAAATACATAAAAGGATTCCCCAAATTAGCTTGTGAACGTTGTGCCAAAGACTCCATTCCCAATTAGCACCTCACACAGGACCCCGAAGGTCGTTGTTGGAGGGCACACGGCACACACGGCATCCTAAATCCACTGACAGCCAAAGCAGTTGCGAGACAGATCTGCATGAAGGAAAATCACTTCACTGGCGACAAAAGGCTCACACCTGCCCACCTCCGATCTAGCTTTTGCTATCCCAAAATGGACGGTCTGCAGGTTGTGCTGGCTATGAGTGCACCATGTTACTGGCTAGTGAGTCGGATCCAAGCTATTGAGCCAATTTATCCTCGTTGGGGATGAGAACACATGTCCCGTGATCGACTGGAGAGACCAATGAGGGCTGGAGCATCCCACGCCGTAGAAGACACGCCTACATTGACCGCGGATCAACCACCCCTACACTAGTAGCAACTGCATCGCTACTAGAAGCCAAGAGCATTACTACTAGTAGCAAGAAGCTAGTAGTAACAAGGGCATCGCTACTAGTTATAACTAATGTATCTTCCAGACATGGAGAGTTTGGGCTTTGAAAGATTTCGGATAAGAGTTCTGGGGGAACTGACAGGAACTGATCAATGATTCGTCATCTCGACAATTAGTAGCGTCCTTGCTCCTAGTAGCGATGTCCTTTGCTCCTAGTAGCGATGCCAGGAGCCCCTAGTAGCGTCCTTTGCTCCTAGTAGCGATGCCAGGAGCCCCTAGTAGCGTCCTTGCCCCTAGTAGCGATGCCAGGAGCCCCTAGTAGCGTCCTTGCCCCTAGTAGCGATGCCAGGAGCCCCTAGTAGCGTCCTTGCCCCTATCTTCTCTCTTTTTTTGCGCACATTTTGCCACCGTCCACGATCAGCCCTCACTCGCTCCATGCCGCATTGTCTCAATAGGCCTGACCTTGCGCGCCAGCCATCTGCTGCTGATACATCTGCTGCTGGTAAGCCTGCTGCTGTTGCTGCTGATACTGCATTTGCTGTTGCTGTTGTTGCTGCTGCTGCAGCTGTTGTTGATACTGCATCTGCTGATACTGCTGTTGTTGCATCTGCTGCTGTTGCATCTGTTGCTGTTGCATCTGTTGCTGTTGCAATTGCTGTTGTTGGTATTGTTGCTGTTGGAGCTGCTGCTGGTAGAGTTGCTGTTGGTATTGTTGTTGCTGCATTTGCTGCTGTTGCTGCTGCTGCTGCTGCTGCAACTGCTGTTGCTGTTGCTGTTGTTGGTAGAGTTGCTGCTGTTGGTACTGTTGTTGTTGCATCTGTTGCTGCTGCAGCTGCTGCTGTTGAAGTTGCTGTTGCTGCTGCTGTTGCTGCATCTGTTGCTGCTGCAGTTGTTGCTGCTGCATCTGCTGCTGCTGCAGTTGTTGCTGCTGCATTTGCTGTTGCTGTTGCTGCTGCATCTGCATCTGCTGTTGTTGCTGCATCTGCTGCTCTTGAAGCATCTGCTGCGACCTCATACACTGTTTGCTGACCATCTTGAAAGAAACAAATCATATGTCAGTGGTCCACGTGAACTTGCAGGAACAGTTTTCAACTGACAGCTCAAAACATTTAGGAAACACTTCTGAATCGCTTTTGATTGCATAGTAACAAGAAGCTAGTAGAAACAAGTGCATCGCTACTAGTAACAAGTGCCTTACTAATAGTAACAAGAAGCTAGCAGAAACAAGTGCCTTACTAGTAGTAACAGGTGCCTTACTAGTAGTAACAAATCTTCTTCCATCTTCTTCACTTCGTGAACGAGCGAACACGCTGGGCCAAGTTCCTGACGCTTGGCCTTCGCTTTTGCCTTCGCAGCATCCGGCGCACCCAGCGTTGGCACAGCCCATGGAGGCGTCTCCACAGCAGCCGGCGTTGCACATGTTGTTGCCACAGCCACAGCCACACCCGCAGCCACAGCCGCAGCCGCCGCAGCCTTCCATGTTGTTGTGCATCCCGCACATGTTGTTGCCCCAGCCGTCCATGCAGCCCATATTGTTGCAGCAACCGCCCATGTTGTTGTAGCCGCATCCCATATTGCAGCAGCCTCCCATGTTGTTGTAGCCACCTCAAGTAGAGGAGAGCTCACTGGATGGAGTAAGAAGTGACCAAGACTCTAAAGGAATATAAATATCTGTCATTGCCCACTCGAACCTGGTAAGCTCCATATATGCACTCGGGTGCAAGAAATGAGTGACATCGCCAATGAACACTATTTCAATGACGGTATGCGGTACTGTAGGGTTGTTAGGTAAATCCACTAGTTCTTTGAATGGTTTCTCCATCCTCTCCTAGGGGCTGGCCATAATTTGCCTTTTAGCATCCTTCAAGGGCTGGGATTAACCCTGTATCAAGTTGGGTGAATCCAGTTCTTTTTTCATGTTTTGTGTGTTCTTCTTTATTTCTTTCTTGCCTTCGTTCGTTCACTCGGTCGTTGGTTCGTTCGTTCGCTCGTGCGTTCGTTCGGGGGCTCCTTTGTTTTTCTGCCAAGAAACATTGACCGTAGCCTTGGCCATACATCTGCTGCATGTTGCCATACATCTGTCCCTGACCTTGACAATCAGGTCCCTTCAATCCAAGGTCGGTCCAAAACGCGTGACGAAACCTTGAAACTACTGGTAAAGCCATGCTGAAACAAGAGAGCTCAAAAAAAACACGTTCGCAAAAGTTCGACCTCTTACAATCAGTCAAGATCATATCGTTTCACATTACGTTCTAAGGATTGGACAACACTGGCCGTCTTGTGGGATGTTGATCTGAAGGTTGGCACTCATGTCCCCAGAGTTCAGCTTTCGCTGCCTGACAAGGCCACAACTCGAAGCCACCTCTGCTTGCAATGGCCTCCATCCCAATAGCGATGGCCTCCACCTAATAGCATCCTTGCTACTAGTAGCTTCCTCTTGTTCCTAGTAGTAATGCCAGGAGGTGATGTAGTGATGCCCTTTGCTCCTAGTAGCGATGGCCTAGCTTTGTCAGCCTAAAGAGGTTTCGGCTTGGTCCTTTGTTTCTAATAGCTTTTTGTTACTACTAGTAAGGCACCTGTTACTACTAGCGTGGCACCTGTTACTAGTAGCTTCTTGTTCAGACATGCAGTCGACCTGATCGGGTCCCGTGTGTTCGAGCCGTACGGGTCCCGTCGCCTGATTCGCCGTGCATCTTCAGTCAACGCCACAAAGACCTCGTTGGTCTCCAACCTCGGACGCTAGTTCGTGCTTTGCCCAAGGCCGTAGGCCCAAGGCCGTAGTTCCAAAACCGGCCTTTGCAAGGTGTTGGAAGGGTCCTTTTGAAGGGGAGATTGCAATGGTTCTTTGGTATTGGCATGTTGACCTAGATTGTTCGTAATGTGCTTAGCTGTCTGTGACTAGGCTGAAGGATATTGGTGAAAAACAAGAAACAAAAGCAACCATTATAGGTTGGAGGCCATCCCTAGTAGCAAGAATCAAGAAGCTACTAGGTGGAGGTCATCGCTATTAGGTTGGATGCCATCGCGACTAGTAACAAGAAGCTACGAACGTAACATATAGTTGTTCAACTGTGGGAGGTCAAACTTCCTGACACTAGGTCAACAATAAGCTACTAGGAACAAGTGCATCGTTTCTAGTAACAAGTGCCTTACTACTAGTAACAAGAAGCTACTAACGTAACAAGAATAATTCTCTTTCCTAGTAGCGACACTGGTCAACTGGGAAGCCTAGGCCCGGACTCCACCGAGACCTGGCTCTCGACCACGCGGCCGCATAGGACCTCGGGAGAGCCGGGGAGTGCTCAGAGAGCTGCAGCTAGGGGCGCTCCTGGCCTTACTACTAGGAACAAGAAGCTACTAGGAACAAAGGGCATCGCTACTAGGAGCAAGGACGCTACTAGTAGCTATATATTTGCTAGTAGTAGTTATGCCCTTTGGTTACTAGTAGCGATGCCTGGGTTCCTAGTAGCGATGCCAGGAGCTACTAGTAGCTTCTAGTAGCGTCCTCGGGACCCCTCCAACCTACACCGGGAGCCCTCGCGGTGCTCAAAGAATGCATTGAAAAGCATAAGGAAGGAAAGGAAGAAGGAAATATACGAGACAGGACAAGGAGGAAAAAAACTAAGTGGACAAATGGTTAAGAAAAGAAAGAAACAGTAAGGGGTAGTTAGGGGGTCAAGGCCTTGTGCGCATTCTGGCGACATTGATCATAGGATATCATAGGTGTAGAACTCTCTCAAAGCCATTTCCAGTCTCCCCAGAGAATACAGAAAAGAAATGTTTCAAGTGTTGGTATTCAGGGTCTTTCTTTGGACCTCTTCTTTCCTTTCTTCCCTCCCTTCGAAGCCGTTTCATTGTGACAAAAGGCCTACGATAGCTTGACACCGCGTGCCGGAAATTCCATCCTGAGGCGGCTTCCAAGGTGTCGTCGATGAGACTGATGAGCTCTTCCATGGTGTTCACCTGGCGTTTTGAAGGCCGCATCACTCTTTCATATTGATGTTGTGCACAGAAATGCGATTTAATCACCAATAGGTTGGGGAGGCCATTGCAATTAGGTTGGAGACCATCACTAGTAGGGTGGAGGCCATTGGCCATTGCTATTAGTAACTCAATTGCGGCTTTCCAAATAGCGCACCCCGTAGAACTTCGGGCTGAAGTTCCGTCTGTAGTACCGACCTTAAGGATCAATGAGTTGTTTCTGAGAGAGCGTTTTGGAGAGCGTGTTGGCAAAAAAATAACATATTCTTGTTTGTAGTGAGGGATGTTTCTACTGTCACTACTCCTGGGGTGAACTCCAGCAAGCAATTTCCGAACCAGAAGCACCTCAAAAATAAGAAATGTAGCGTCATACCTGAAATCTTTGACTTTGATCAAGGCCAACCCGACTCAGATCAAACCCTCGGCAGGAATTGGAATCGAGATGAATCAAGCTGGACATTCTGTGAGTGTGAGGAAGCACCTTCCAACCTCAAAAGACCACTAGAGGACGCTACTAGGAGCAAGGACGCTACTACGGGCTCCTGGCCTTACTACTAGGAGCAAGAGCACGCTACTAGGAGCTTCCTCACACTTGACCTCCAGTCCCTCACACAACCAAGTCCAGCACCAAAGTAAAATGGAATGAACTCAGGGTGGATGCCTTCCGTCAGCTGCAACGACCGGCATCGGTAAAGCTGCAACTCCCTGTTGTCGCAAGCTCTGAAGCAGTGAGGTGGTCCTTGTTACTAGTGGCGATGCCCTTTGCTCCTAGTAGCTTCTTTGCTCCTAGTAGTAAGGCCAGGAGCCCCTAGTACCGTCCTTGTTCCTAGTAGTAAGGCCAGGAGCCCCTAGTAGCTTCTTTGCTCCTAGTAGTAAGGCCAGGAGCCCCTAGTAGCGTCCTTGTTCCTGCAAGTAAGGCCAGTAGCCCCTAGTAGCGTCCTTGTTCCTACTAGTAAGGCCAGGAGCCCCTACTAACGTCCTTGTTCCTAGTAGTAAGGCCAGGAGCCCCTAGTAGCTTCTTGCTCCTAGTAGTAAGGCCAGGAGCTACTAGTAGCGTCCTTGTTACTAGTGGCATGAGTGCTAATGCTTAATTGTTTATATACTATGACAAATGTTTGATAATTACAGTGTAGTTATATGCTTCTGGTGTCCTTCTTGAACGGTCGAGACTCAATTTGGAACCTGTTCGATCAGGATCTCCGCAGTCATTTTTGAAGGCATGGATCAGCATATTCCTGCCAACACAAGAATCACATCTCGATGTTTAGAGATGTCGAATTTATGCAAACACACAGCAACCAAGTAGCGTCCTTGCTCCTACTAGTATGGCCAGGAGCCCCTAGAAGCGTCCTTGCTCCTAGTAGCGATGCCCTTTGCTCCTAGTAGCGTCCTTGTTACTACTAGTAAGGCACTTGTTACTAGAAGCGGATGCACTTAGCAAGCTTGCTGATATGTTTCGTTTGACGTTCTGCCAAGCGAGCCAGGGCCACATTTCCACGCGCAGGCTCAACATGGCCCAGTCCTGGTCATTCGTACAGACCCAAGCCCAAGAGATACCGAGATTCACTTGAAAAGCTTTCATAATGAAGAAAGCAAGAAGACACTGTTGACTGTTGTAAGGCCACATGTCTGAACCTTTGCGGAAACTAGTGGATCACATTCTGATGCCGTTGGAGGCCGCTAGTAGATGCTTAGTAAGAGGTAGCTACTAACCACATCTCTACGACTCTACGACTTTAGGTTACCAGGTATGGAAAAACGGTCGGACAGATCCATCCACAGTGTACCGCAAGCTCACGAGGGTGTTCTACCCTCGCCTTACTGCATTTAAGATCACTAATAGTTGTCTTACTTTCCAATTACCGTTTACACCCCGAAAAACTATCTACACTACAGTTACAGTATAAAGCTGCAAATGATTTGTCCATCTCCGTTCACGGACAGAGACCTCATAAGGAGTTCACAAAAGGCAGAGTGAAAACACAAACGCCGATGACGATTAGAACACGTAACAAGGACCTCAAGTAGTCCAAACTTAACACGGTATTCCTGCGGACACTGAAAAACTGACAAAAGGCGCCCGTCGCATGAAAAACGCGCAGCCCCCAGGCAATACCGGTTGCGCCCAAAGCGCTCAAGTGCAACAAATACAGGCGTGGTTTCTCTAGAGCGAGCGCGGGTGGAAGCTTGCGCTCAAAGTTCAGTCTCAAAGACATCTGAGAGCAACTGTTCTTGGTGGTTTCTTCGCTCTTAGGTTGGAGGCCATCACTCTTCGGTGCACAAAAAATTCCGCTTGAGGGGCTGCGAACTGCGCTTGGCCGTTTCTTTGCACGTGGTCTTCGCCTTGCCTCCAGCAAGCACGTCAGTTCGGACCCGCAATGCAGCTATTGGAAGCTATTGGAACAAGAGCGCTGCAGCCATGGCTCCGTTCCTCTAAAAGTTCTGGAGTTAGGTCTGCCTAAAGGCCAAATCTGGACTGCCTTTGAATGTTAAAAAGGACTTATCTCCAAGGACTGAAGGCGTGTTTAACTTCAGTCCTTGGAGTCAAGAAAAACAACACAAAACGCTACCTGAACACGACTCCATGTAGACCTGAAAATGCAATCGATAGAAATCCCTAACAAAAATCCCAATCAAGGGGGAACCGATTCCCCTGTTTCTGGTGACCTTTCTAAACGAACAAAGGACAAGAACTTTTTGGAAAGCAAGACTGACCGCACCTCATGCCTGGCTCATGAACCTCGTGAGGTTGCCAGCATGCTTTAGCCCTCACTGCTAAAATGCTTGCCTTAACTAGTTGGGCGGCGTGGTTGCGAGTTCACTAAAAGTCCTCCAAGTTGAAAGCTGCGAAGAGTGGTTTGCCATCACCAGCGTCACAAATGTCTTCGACCTCGCGCCCATTGGATCGATGAGCCCGTCGGCGAGTGCCTACGGCCTGGATCCAAAACATGGGCACACAAGACACGAAAGGAGTACTTTTAGGTTCCATTCTTTGCTTCATACGAGCAACAAGAGTGCTTTTGAAATGCTACTCCTCACTGTTGCAAACAAACTAGTCGAAAAGGCACGGGCACGTTATGCAAGGTAAGTTGCAAAAGGTCAGGCAAGGTATAGACAGGTATAGTATAGACTATAGACAGATAGGGTTAGGGTAGGTAAGATCATTCACCCAGCATGAAAGGAAGCGTACCACACCACGTCAAAAACTCTGCAGCTACAAAAGTGTAAGAATGTTTTCCTGATGGTCATGGCAGGTTTCAATGACGACACATCGAGTTACGTGATGTTGCTATCACTTTGAAATTCTCACGATAGCCCCTAGTAGCTTCTTGTTACTAGTAGTAAGAATGCTACTAGTAGTGAGTAGTGATGCCAGCAGCCCCCAGTAGCGTCCTTGCTCCTAGTAGAGTGAGGAAAAGCGGAGAGACATGTTCGGCAAAGGTAACAGAAGGTCGGAGGGTTGCGAATTGGCTGTGCCATGTGCAAGCTGGGTAGCCAGCGATGCAGTTCCACTCAAGACTGTAACGGTCACGGAGTGTGACAACGGTGGGTGGAGAAAAGTTGAGAACCCAGTAGCGAGGCCCTTTGTTCCTAGTAGCGAGCATTGTTACTGGTAGC